TTTTTTTTTTTTTTTTTTTTTTTTTATAAATTATACTAACATAACCAACAAAATCTTTCTCTCTCTTTTTTTTTTTTTTTCATATTTCATTCTCGAAAAATATATCCGCGATGTCTTCTTGTGTCGTTGATAAAAAAAAATGGGAAAGGGGAGGGGATGGGGGAGAGATATCTCTCTCTTCTTGTGTTCGGTGATACGATAATCGATATTTTCTTTATCATCCTTTAATACTTGGAATTTGGGTGGATTTACGCGGAACTTTGAAGCTGACTTTTTTAACTAACATACACACACACACACACACACACACACACACACACACACTAAGGCTTTTTCGTATAAGATTATAAAAGTTTTCTCGGTAAAAAAAAAAAAAGAAGTTTAAAAGAGAGAGAGAGATAAGCTTTTGAGAAATTTTACGGGGGAAACCTTTGTCACTCGTTTCGTTTCTTCTTTTTATTTTTTTTTTTTTTATCGTCAAAATGATAGGAGGAGGAGACTTCAAAGGTTGTCCTTACGATTATTTTTTTTAATTGTTACTCTTTCTTTATCTCGTAAAAAGTGGGAAAAATCGTGAAATCTCGTACGATAATAAACTGCAAAGTAAATAATAGGCAAAATTATTTTTAAATTACAATTAAATTCAATAAAATATTCCTTACTCTCTCTCTCTTTCTCTCTCTTTTTCAAAATCCAAGTCATTTTTTAATAAATTTGTACAATTTATTTAACAAACTCTTCTTAACCTAAAAAATCCAAACTAACCCTATTATGTGTTACACCCCCCTGCTATTTTGTTCTCTTCTAACGTAATATCTTTTTTTGGTTCTTAAAAATTAATTAATATTTTTAAAAATTAATTGACAATTAATTAGTATTTTTTATTTTACAGGTGATAAAGAAGAAAAAAATAAAATGGCGGATTTTTGAATGAAAGGATGAATTAATCTTGACTGACTTCGAAAATGGAACCACCACACTCGGATAAAACGTTTCTAATACGCTTTCACGAAGTTATAATATTTGTGTTATAAAATTAATTAGTATTTTTTATTTTACAGGTGATGAAAAAGAAAAAAATAAAATGGCGAATCTTTGAATGAAAGGATGAATTAATCTTGACTGACTTCGAAAATGGAACCACCACACTCGGATAAAACGTTTCTAATACGCTTTCACGAAGTTATAATATTTGTGTTTTGAATTCCCCTTCTGAGAATACTCGAAGGTATTACATAATATTTAAGCAAAAGAAAGAAATAGCAGAAGCGTGCGTTTAAAATCTCTCCCAGAGATCTGTTAGAAGATCTAGACGTTCTAAACACAAGTTTACAACGAACGAACAAACGAACGAACGAACAAGGTAAAGAAAAAACTCAAAAAAAAAAAAAGAGATACGAGATGTTATTTTGTTTGCTTGCTTGCGAAAGTAAAAACGATTTCTCGAAAAGCTGTAATAGTTTACAGCGAATAAAATCGATTCCGCGTAAAGCGTCTCTCTCTCTCCCTCTCTCTCTTTCTTTCTCTTAGATATCTCGCGACAAATTAATCGAATACCTTCGTTAGATCGTGTGAGAAAAAAAACTAGCTAAGGAATTCCGTGCTCGCAAGCTTGGATTCTTGTTTGTAGCCCACGCGGCGTGACAACGAGCCTTCTTCTTACCACCAGAGAGAAAAGAGAGAGAGAGAGAGAGAGAGAGAGGGAGATACTCCACCACTCACTTTACTACTTTTCTTATAGGAAGGTTCTCATCTCGAAGTTTAGATTCTATCATTTAGTTATGAGAATATATATATATAAACTTGTTTCTCTCTTATCCAACTTTCTTTTCCTCTCTTTCTCTCTTTCTCTCTTTAGATCAAAAGCAAAACAAGTTTCAAAAGGACAAATTGGTTCACGTGACATATTTCAATATGGCGGCTGCCGCGCGAAAATAAGAAAGATTCGAAATCACTTAAAAGAAATTCAATGAAAAATAAAAATAGGAAATAATTTTAGTTCCTGATAAGATAACAATTAAATTACGAATTTTACTAGGTTAAACAAAAAATAATGATTATAGGTAGAAGGTTAGGAAACCTTTCGAAAAAAAAAAGGATGAGATTTTTCATAACGATGATGATGAGACAACAAGAACTGCGACATAGGCTATCCTAGTCGTCGTTGTCGTCGTCGTTTAAGAGACGGGGAGGAGGAGGAGGAGGTGTCTTCTCTCTCGTGGCGTTGCATGAAAATAGCCGAGTGTACTTGGAATATCGCGCGGCCTACGCGGTAAGCATGCTAAAAGGCGTTCGTTCGGGTCGCATCGACTTAAGAAAGAGCGAGTGAGTGAGTGAGTGAGTGAGTGAGTGAGTGAGTGAGTGAGTGAGTGAGTGAGTGAGTGAGTGAGTGAGTGACTGAACGAGTAAGTGAGTGAGTAAGAAAGAGAGAGATTGTACACTCTTCACGAGTAGGAAAAGAAGAAAGAGGCGAAGAAGAAGGAGGAGAAGGATAAGGATGAAGAGGAGGTAGAGGAGGAGGAAGAGGAGGTCTTTCTCGGTGCTTTCGTGTTCGGGAGAAGGAAGAGGAAGAGGAGGTGTAAAGGTAGAGGTAGAGGTGGATGTAGAGGTGGAGGTTGTGAAGGAGAAGGAGGAGGGCTCGTGTTCACCTGTCGTCATGGCAACGCTGCTTCGCCGCTCACTTGTTACTCCATCGGAATGGCTCGGCCCTCGGTCGGTCGGTCGGTCGGTCGGTCGGTCGGTTGGTCCTCTCTTCGTTCGCAGCATCCGTAGAGGATTACGACGAACGCGCGAGTTACGATCAGTCGTAAGAGAGACCGAACTTCTCTTCTCTCGTTTATCGTAAATAGGAAGAAGAAGAAGAAGAAGAAGAAGAAGAAGAGAGGGAGGAGGAAGTGATGGATAGGGAGAAAAGTAGGGGTATATAGGAAACAGACATAGATTGTAATAGTAGTAGTAGTGGAAGTAGTATTTCCGCAGGGTAACACAACACACATCGAGAGGAGAAAGAATAGGAAAAGAAAATAATAACAAATGAATAAATGTAAAGTAAAATAAGAAGAAGAATAAGAGTTTTTCTGTATCTTACTAGCTCACGCTAGGCTCGTTGACTCTCGTGGTACACACGCTTGCATTTTTCTTTTGGTTTTATTATGTTTTGCTTTGCTTTGCTTTGAGTCTCGCTGGGTCACGTTGAAGAGGAGGAGGAGGAGGAGGAGGAGCGCGCGAAAGACTCCCGGATATACGCGGAGGACGGGAATACGATTTTATTCGAGTCGCGGCCTCCTGACTGGAAGAAGACTGAAGAAGGGTTCAAGAAAAAGAAGAAGAAGAAAAGGGACAACGCTGAAGACGACGCCGACGACGACGCCGAAGACGACGACGACAGCAGCAGCAGCAAACGGCGCTTCTTTTCTTCACTCCTCTTTTCTTTTATTTTCTTTTCTTGTGTTGGTCGCTCTACTACTCTCTCTCGACGGCGCACTCGAGCAGAAGTCACTCTTTCTATTTTAAGCGACGTGCACTCGGACCCTCGCCGCTTCAACGCAAGCGACCGCGCATTCTCGATTTTCTACGTGTTGAGAGAGAGACGCGATGGACGAACAAGTTCTCTCCCTCTCTCTCTCTCTCTCTCTTTTACTTACTCTTTCCCTTTATATCTTTTTCTCTTTGGAACTCTTGACACATTCACACACACACGCGTATATATATATACATTACGCTAAAGATTGATCTATCTCTCTCTTTCACCCTTTTCCCTTTTTTTTGTATATATATATATAATATGCATAAAAGTATGTATGTACTTACTATGTCTCCCTTCCTTCTCGTTATCCACTTACGAGCGCGTCGATCTGTTTGCTATGCAAATCCCGTCCGACCGGCGCTGACGTAGACGGCGGCAACACCAACGCAGAAACGGGTCCGTCGACGATATCTCCTACTAACACACTTAACCGCTGCGCGGTTAGTCATTGCCCGCGGACGCGCACACGTAGAAAATGTAATCGGACGACGACAACGACGACGACGACGACGACAACGAAGAAGACGACGACAAGGTGGTAGAGGAAGAGGAGGAGGAGGAGGTGGTGGTGGTGGTGGTGGTGGAGAAGGTGGAAGAGTAGGGGATGAGGATCAACGGCGTCGCGGGGAGTGCTACTGCAACACTTTCGAGGGAATCTCCTTCTTCTATCTTTATTTCTCTTTTACTCCCTCTTTCTCTCTTTCGTAGCACGTTGCGTTATCACAGAACTCTCTCTCTCTCTCTCTTTTTCAGCGTTGACACACGGACACAACACTGGCTTGTTGCTGCTGACAACTCTTGATGCCACCAGTGCTCACCACACCACTACTATTACTTCACCAATTCTGCTTTTACAGCTGAACTGAACTGAACTACTACTACTACTATTAGTACTACTACTTTACAACCGTACTACTACTACTACTACTATACTACTAACAGAGAGCAGCAGCAGCAGCAGCAGAACGACGTCGACACGACACAAGCGCAACACAGAAGAAGCAGCACGAGTGGCAGTGTAAGACCAGCAGCAGCAGCAGGGAGAGACGTCGTCGTCGTCGTCGTCCGTAGTAGTAACGGCAGCACGAAAATTCTCTTTCTCTCTTTCTCTTTCACTTTAAGAGTTGCTACTGGTATTGGTGCTACTGCTTGACGTCATCGGCGCCTAATCGCGAGACGTACTTGCCACACACGCACGTACGCACGCACACTCAGCAGACTACCACCGTACGTACCCGTCTACGCAAACCGTCTGTGACCGTTTCTTCTTCTTCTACTTCTTTTTATTATTTTTCCCGTATATTCTATTTATCTATCTATCTTTTTTTTTTCCCCCAGGTAAAAAGAGAGAGGATGATCAGGCGTCACGACGATGCGTCCTCTTCGCCCGCGCACTACAATCTAAGGAGATAAGCATCCTTCTCCTTCTTTCGTATGCTGCTGCTGCTGATGATGATGATAGTAATGACGATGAATTAAACGATGACGATAATGATAATGATGACGACAACAACGAGGTCCACCTCCTCCTCCTCCTGGATCGTGCCGTCTCCTCACGTGTTCCTCCACCTCTAGCTTCTTTTACTTTTATACCACTACCATCACCTCCACCTCCTCCTCCTCTCACTCTCGTCCTCGCGCGAGACGTTCGACGTCCGTCGTCGTACGTACCTACTAGATTCATCGATCGAACCACCACGATCTTTTCATCGATTCCGTTCCTCTTTACTTCCCTCTCTTTTTATTTGTTTAATTTTCTTCTTAATAGAACACACCAGGAGAAGATAAGATTTTAAAAAAACACACTCAATGATGGAATTTTTAATTAATTCAACTTTATGTCTATTAATTCTTTCTATCTCTTACTTCTTCTCTTTATCATATATATATATATATATATATATCTCTGTATATACATATACACATCTGCACACACATATATCAATCTCGATCTATCTCTTTTGTTGAAGAGAAGACACAAGAACGACCAGTCGATCCGCGCGCTTCCGCCGGCCCGCTTCCACTGACTGAGCAGCTACGAAAACCACCGAGCAGCGGAGCCGTTCACGCGTACCGGTTTTCTCGCTTCGAGCGTCGACGACCGCCGCTGAGGAACGAAGGAACGAGCGAACTAACGAACTAACGAACGTACGAATGAAACGTACGAATGGCAGGCTGGCAGGCAGGCAAACAAGCAAGCAGGCTGACAACGACTTTTCTTTCTCTCACACTTTATGTATAACTTTTACTAAAAGTCCAACTAGTCATCGTTCTCCTTCGTTATTGTTACCATCGTCACATAAAAATGACATAGTTCAACGGCGACACAAGATATTCATCATCATTATCATCATCGTCTTCGTCGTCGCGTTGTCATCGTCGTCGTTGTCTCAAAGAACAAGACAACTCCGAAACAGCACGCGCGCACCTAACTGCACTGCTGCTGCTGCTGCTATTGCTCCTCTCCTGCTGCTTGCTAAACACAACTGTTCGGCGGCGTTGTTATTGTTGCGTAACTGGCGGCTTCTTCTGTGTATATGTATGTATGTATGTGTATGTGTGTGTGTAGAGCAGGCTGCTGCCTCTCTGAGAGGTCGCGAGCGACAGGAATCGTGGGTGAGCCAGTGGGCGATCGACGACCATACACGAAGAAGGGGGGTGGTATTTTACCGAGTGCTCTCCCCCTAACTACATTCGCAAACAGTATGACAAAGAGAAAGAGAGAGAGAGAGAAGGAGAGAGAGAGAGAGAATGACACAACACACACAAACATACGCAGCACAAGAAGAGACACATATACAACACAAACACACACGAGAGAGGGAGAGAGAGAGAGAGAGAAATAGGAAGGAAGGGAAAGAGAGTGCGCGAGCAGTGCGCCGTCTGGCGTGCCTGCCGACAGTCTACTGCTTTCCGAGAAGCACGAGGTGATTCCGTGTATCGAGCGCACTCCCCTCTCCTGGCCCCTCTCACGATCACTCACTCACTCTCTCCCCCTCACTCTTCTAACTCCTCCCTTCCCTATCGAGGAGGATCCGAGCTAGAAAGAGAAAGAGATAACACGAATACACGGAGAAACCTTCCCTCAGGGACAACGACTAGCTTCTCTTACTACTATACTCTCCTTACGATTATTGTCTTCACTCTCTTCTTTCTCATCTCCCTCACTTTCTTGATAGACTTTCAAATTCATTTGGTTTAATAGCCCCAGATCGATTAGGTTTTTATTTTGTTTTTTTGAGCATATTTAAACAACAATATAAAGGGACCTAGCCATCCCGGTGATGTGGCACCCTTACGCACCCTTCTTCCTTCCTTCCTTCCTTCCTGAGGAAGAAAGGAAAACAAGGAGGGATCATCATAGCGACGTAATAATCAAAGACACCCTAAGGCTATTTTGAGCGAGAATCCTCGCGATTAACGATCGAGATCGTTTTGCGTTAGCGTAGCTCTATTTTTATACGAGTCCCAAGCTATTTTAGGGCTGCAAATTTGAAGCCAGAGGAAGTCAATCGTAATCCGCTTTATTTATCCTGGGCCCCGTAAAAGCCAAGGACAAATCATTAGTTTATCGTCTATTGGTGTAATAGTTTGAATCCTCTCTTAACTTTCCTTTTTATCTTTTTTAAGTTTTCTTTAGTCTAGATTACGAACAAGATTATTTCATTGGGTTGTTCGGAAAGTGATTAAGTTTTTCTTTTGTGAAAATAAAGATAATTTTCGTTTCCAGGTTAAACCTAGGCCCTTCAAGTTGGCTTAAATAGTTGAATTTAATAAATTTAACCTCTCACCGTTCTTACGTTTTGGTATTTGCCAGTTTGCATTAACTAATGACTTTATTGTGTCAGGAAAAAACGAAATTACTTTCCAAACAACACAATATATATCTACATGATATATTAGTTTTGTTTTATCAAAGGAAAAGGTATACCTTTCTATTCGAAGTCTTTCTCTCTCTCTCTCTCTCTCTCTTTGTTACCAAATCGAACGATGATCACCGTTCACCGATATCCGATAAATATCAAAAGAGGACACAACAAGCAAGCATGCATCTTTGTGCCTCGTCTCATCTTCCTTAGAAGAAACTTTCTCTTCTTACTAATTCTTTTTCTTCTTTATATTTTTTTTTTCCATTCCTCTCGTTTAACTGTTACTTATTTTACAAAACTCATAATCGTTTATGATTAATGTATATTTTAAAATTTTTCAATTGAAAATAGATAAAAGATAAACGAAGAAAAGATCTTATTTTACACTGCGTTGTATATTATTTTGTTACTTGGCTGCTTTGCAACACGGAGAAGTCATTACCTACTTATGAATGGGTGTGTGTTACTATAAGCGTTGAGTAAATTAACGTAATTTCGTTGTAACAGTATATAACACGATCTTACCGCGAAAGAGCACGAGCATTATTTCCAAAGAATTAATAGATCGTTACTTAGAATTGTGAGCTGCTACATAGTTCATTTGTTTGCTCACTTGCTCACTCGGTTTCCTTTCTTGCTTGTTCTATATAAAATGCATATACTCATACTCACACATACCTTTAATCCATATACGTCTCGCGTTTCTTTCATTAAACTGGTATAGTATATATAAACGAGAAGAGACACAGGAAGAAATGATTCAAATTCATCGGTAAAGATGATAATCATTTCAACTACAATGACCAACGATGATTATTTCTAATATATCATTTCATTCATTTTTAACTCACATTCTTCAACAAATCGGCAGTTTTGAATTGGTAAAATGAAGGCGCCTAGATACAAGATCCAACCATTAAACGACCATACCTGAATTCGTGAGTAGTGAATAATGCTAGGTAGTGTATTCGTTGAATTCCAATTTCAACCTTTCTCGTTCCACATACCCAAACGTTTTTCTTTCAACTTTTCTAATCTTTGTACTCCTATTTTCTCTCTCTCTCTCTCTCTCTCTAGTTTTCTTTATTACTCATTGAATGAGAACGGTCTTTTCTTCGTATTCTACTACGGGGGACAGGAGTAGTGGGAGGAGGTATACTTGAATGGGATCACGATTGTAGAGAAAACATCTTGAAAACTGGCTCCTTGGCCTGGAGAAAAGTCATTGGTGAAGTAAGAAGCACATTGTTGTCTCTTCGATAATAAGAAATTCCTTTAAGAGAAAGAGAAGAAGTTCGATTTGAAAAATGACACGAGTGTGTATCGAAGTCCATCCAATTGCATCCAAGAGTCATCTCAAACACAATCCTGTTGTGTAGTATCCATCTTACGTAGGAAAAAACTTGCAATACAGTCTTAGAGTTAGTCGACGATATTCTCTCGGCGACTTCCGGTATCCACCGGAGGAGTAATGTAGAAACGTGCCGAGGCTAAGCTTCGAAAAGAAAGAAAAATAAGGATAGCTAAACAGTATACATGAGAGTAGTTGGTATATGCATGCTTCATGTATGATGTATGTGTAATACAACACTTACACAGTACACAGAAAACATGTATAGGTTTCTCGTATTGCTCGCACGGCTGCCATGTGACGTGCTCATCCAAGTGTGTAAGTATATATTCTCTTTCACTATATCACACATGGTTCTATGTGTACGTATATGTGTGTACTGGCTTGGTTCGTTCCTTGGTTGGTCGGTTGGTTGGTTGGTCGGTTGGTTCAAGTTGGCCTGCAAACGAGAGAGAGAAAGAGAGAGAAAGAGAGAGAGAGAGAGAAGAAGAGACGGGAAACGAAAGGTGCTGTAGTTGGCAACGGGTAGTGGGGGTCTTTCTTGGAATGTCCCGCTGTCTCGGGCGAACGACGGTCCGGCTCCTCCGGAACTCCAACGCGCTGCTGGAACAACCAGCCATCGGGTGGGTTTCTTTAGGGTCGACCGGTTAGCTTGTCTCTCTCTCTTTTTCTCTCTCAGAAACCCCACCTACCAATCGGTCTGCCTGCCTTCGTTCCAACCAACTCTACGCGGCAAACTTCGCTTACACACTAGGCATACAGCCTTTACCTGTTTCCTTTGAACTGGTGATCAGGAGAGATGGAGGGGAAGGGGAATGGGAAAGGGGAAAATAGCAAGACAGCAGCACACACACAGATTCCTTTTTCTTTTTTTTCTTTATCTCTTCTTTCGCTTCGTCACGATTTACGTTCCCTCTCTTTGAATCCGTTCTCTGACATCCTCGTACTAACCCCTTCCTTCCTCCCCTCACCCTAGAACTCTGAACTGACTCAACGAAGGGAATTTCCCTACGTGTTTTTTCAACCTTTTTCCCCATCCTCCTCTCCTATCCTTTCCCCAAATTCTTTTCAATTGTTTACATTTAGGATAACTCTTTAAATAAATAATAACACTATCTTGTTAATAACCACCCTTAAATATAATGACGTGGTACATGTTAAAGTTTGATCTACAATAGAAAAAAAAAAAAAATAAACGTTCTATTTATGGTAAGAAATCGAAATGACCAAACAAAAATGCAATAAGTTAGTTTGAAAGAAAATATATGTCCTCCTTAGTGGGCGTGGTAGTGGTGGTCGTAAAACTATCGAATCGAAGAGAATATTCATTTTTTTTCTCTGATGATTGGTATTGGGAAAAAAAAAAGAAAAGAGATAAAAAAAGAACGTATCTGGACGAGTGCATTCGATTTAATACGGCCCTGTCCCACACCGCACTGACGATCAACGAGGCCTTCCGCCTGTTGTCCTCCCCTTTACCCCTCAACTCGCACGTTGCTTCACAACCACCACCACCACCACCACCATCATATCGGGCGTACTTCGTATCTTGTACTACTATTTCTACCTCACC